GGGCTGGGAGAGAAGCAAGAGAGAAGCCATTGTTCAAGGTCCTGAATAAACTGCCTGCAAGAAAAGCTCCGGTGTCGCGTCGTCCTTGCGGGTCGAGGTGGCAGCGACAAACGAGCATAATAAACTATTGCCGGGAAGTGGTGGTGCACACCTTTAATTCCAGCACTTGGGAGGCAGAGACAGGCAGATCGCTGTGAGTTGGAGGCCAGCCTGGTCTATAAGAGCTAGTTCCAGGACAGGCTCCTAAGCCACAGAGAAACCCTGTCTCAAAAAACAAAAACAAAAACAAGCAAACAAAAAGAACTCCGCATTTCATCAAGGCTGTTGTTTTAAGCACGCCTCTCATTTGGGTCAAGCAGCCGGTATAATTTCTTGAAGATATCTGTAATGGGAGAGTGGGGGGCAACCTCAGGGCTATAAGCTAGGCAGAAGACTGCATATGCTGCATGCCACTCTCCAGAGGTGTTCAAGTGTCTTTCTCCAACCTCAAACCTGTGGTCATACAAAGGGTCTCATAGTACATGCTGAAGGAGGGGAAAAGCCCTGAGCTTGGCATGCATTTACGTGGGCATTCAGGTCAGAAATTAACAGCAGCACTAGAGCAATCAGTGATTGCCCTGAAACCGGAGGTGGAAAAATCTCCCAGAGTGCAGGGCTTTTAGAAGATCACCTAGTCCACAACTTGTAGCAATTGCCTCAAATGAAAAAATATGAAATTCCTGGTCCATGACAGATGACCTGAACATCTGATTGGGGATTGGAAGAAAAAGAACTTAAAAAAATGTCTCTGAACCGGGCAATGGTGGTGCATGCCTTTAATCCCAGCAGCACTCAGGAGGCAGCAAAAGGTAGATCTCTGTGTCAAGGCCAGCCTACTCGACAAGAGCTAGTCCCGGGACAGCCAGGACTGTTACATAGAGAACTCTTGAAAAACCTTTTAAAAAGTTGTAAAAATATATTAAGACAAGTTCTTTCTCTGTAGTCTAGAATGTCCTTGGAATCCTTGGAGGATTCATAATCCTCCGGCCTCTGCCCCCTATCTCCAGTGCTGAGATTACAGTGGCTGGATGTCCCGGTACACAGTTATATGAAGCTTTTTGGTTTCATAATAATACATAATATCCATTAGCAAACATCTACCAACAAAAATGAACTAACTATTATTGAAGTTTATTGGCTATTGGTCTAACTAGTCTTTGTCACTGGCCACCTACAGCTGCCATTAAGGGTATTGTAGTGGCAGAGTGTGGCTTATTTTTATAGGTCAACAGCCTGGATTGTTAGGCTTATGATAGCTGTTGTTGCTTTTGAGTATTCAGAAACATAACCTGGGCATGGCGAAAATATTACTACAGAAACTGAGGTAGGGAGGATACAAATTCAATGCCAATCCAGACTATGTAGAGAAATTCTGCCTAAAGGGAGGTGGTGGATCAGTAGCATAGACTCAATACTAAAACCTGACACTCTTCTTCAAGAACAACTAGTAACGTGGTGAGAAGTCTACTACATTAGGCCAGACATGTACTTCAAGAACAAGAACATGTAATCCAAGAGGCATGAAGATCATGGGTTCAAAGTCATCCTGGACGGCATACCAAATTTGAGGTTAGGCTCCTAACACATGAGCTTATCTCAAACGGAAACGATGCTTGTTATCTTCTACCTCTTCAGTCCTGTCAGGACTAGCATTCCATTCTCATAGACGTAGATAATACTTCCGGAATGCATGACTTCAGCTATTCCCATCATTGCTTGGAACTTAACAAACTAGAGTCACCAGAAAAGAGGGAAATTCAGTTGACTAACTGCCTCCCTCACATTGGCAAGTCTGTGAGCCATTTTTTTTTTTTTGGCTGACTGTGGATGTGATAGTGTCCAGCCCACTGTGGGTGGTGCAACTCTTAGAAATATATATGGTCCTAGGTTATATAAAAAAATTAGGATAAGGGAGTCACAGAGAGCACGCAGGTAAATAGCATTCCTCCATGTGTGCTTCAGATCCTGTTTCCAGATTTCTACCTTGAATTCTTGACTTGGCTTCTTCCAATGATAGACCATAAAGTATAAGTGTAAGCCAAATGAACCTTTTCTTTCCAAAATTGATCTTGACCATGATTTTATCTCAGCAACAGAGAATTATTGATATGGTATGGATGGAATCTCATAACAATACAGTATCTGATTGGGTGTCCAATTTAGAGGGACATCAGGAGTAAGTCTATGAAAACAGCATCCACATATAAGTATTTTTCTCATTCTCAGTAGTTGACTTCATAAGCTTATGTAATTACAGTGATGGATTTTATCAGATATCTAAAGGAGAAGTAATAGATACCTAATAGAATTTTTTGTAAAAAATATTTTGTGTGTATATGTTTATGTGTGTATATGTACAATGTATTTGTGTATAACACAGATTCTAGAAAATCACTGGAGAAGAGAATGGCTCCCAATTATTTTCATGAAGCCAGAATTATGAATTAATATCAACAACTGTAAAAGAAATAAAGAAGATAAAGAAGTTATGGCCAGAGTCTGTCAGAGATGGGATGTTATTAAATCAAATTCTTATATATGATGTGAGATTACATTATTATAAAGTAAAGTTTATTCTAGGAACACAAACCTTATTAATTTCTTCTTTAAAAGATCTCACAAAAGGATTAGAATAGAAACCAACTTGCTTTAATTTAAAAAAAATATCGGTAAAGAAACATATAACATTAAACTTGGCAACAAAATATTGGATGTGTTTACTATATTTACTGAAACAAGGCAAAATGTTCGCTTTACTTTGTTTTGAGTCAGGGTCTAGCTGTATATCTGTGGCTGGTCTAGAACTCGCTATGTAGACCAAGGCCGGCCTTGAGCTCACAGAAACAGTTTGCCTCTGAGCCTCTCAAGCATTGGGATTAAAGGTGTACACAACTACACCTGGCATGCTTGCTTTTAGCACTTACATTTTACACTGCACTAGAGATACAAGTCTATGCAATATGGTAAGAAAAAAAGAAATATCTTATTGCATATCCCTACAAAGTAGATTTATTTAGAAGTAACATAATTGTTTATATAGAAAACAATGTTTATACCATGTATGGTATTATGTGCCTGTAATCTCAGCACTTGGGAGGTAGAGGTAGGAAAACTGTAGGCTTGAGCCTGGTCTATGCAGTGAGGCTCTGACTCAAATCACCAAAAATGATGAGGCTGGGAACATGGTGGGATGCTTAAGTAGCAAACCCAAGGCCCCTCCATTCAGTTCTCACTACCCCGTGAACTTAGTGTGGTGGCACACACCTGTAATTCAACACATGGGGGGACATATGAAGAATTGAAAGTTCAAGGTTTCCTTGTCCAGGCAGTAAATTCAAGGGCAACCTGGGTTACTTGAAATTCTCTCTCAAATAAAGTAAAAAAAATAATAAAATAAACCCTCCATTTACAAAGACCTATGGAACTCAAGAGAATTCAATAAAATTATAGAGTGCAAGATTAAAATATAAAAAGTAATATTATTTATCATTTTTACATGTTTGCAGGAAACAACTAGAAAGAAAAAATATGGTAACAATCCAGTTTCTAGTAGTATTAAAAAGCATAAAACACTTGGCTGATGCAGAGCCTCTATCATGGAGTGTTCACCTGCATATTCATGTGCTTATGATGTACACACACACACACACACACACACACACTGCTCCAAATGTTCTGAACCCCAGGCTTGTTAATTCACACCTATAACCCCAACACAGAGGCTAAAGAAGGAAGATAAGTTCAAGGTAAAGGTGGATCTGGGCTACTCACAGAGTTCCAGGCCAGCCTGAGTCAATGTAGTAAGATCTTGTCCCAGACAATAACAACAAACCAATAGTAACAAGAAAAACCTGAGTAGAATAACCCAGATACTAAAATCTACCCTATGGAGTTTTATTTATATGTCATTTTATTGCAGACAAAGCAAATACATTCTAATAGAAATACAAAACAGTGATTGTCAGTGGGAGATTCTGAGGGTGGTGAATATTTTCTCTCTTGGTCATGGCTTTGATTATAATGTGAAATCATTATGAAAACTCATGACATTTTAGCTGGGTGTGGTAACACATGCCTGTAATTCCAGAATTTAAAAATTAGAAGGTAGAGGCCATCCTTGGCTACATAAGGAGTTCAAGACCACCCCGAGCTATGTGAGACTCCTTCAACAAACTAAAAAAAAAATACTAGTAAAGATACCTGTATTCTTAGTGCTTCACTTGGGAGGTAGAGGAAGCAGTACTTCAAAGCTAGCCTTGACTGCTTGGCAAGTTCAAGATTTAGTCTCCTCTGTTATGTTGAGATATTGTTAGAAAGAAAACAAAAAAAGAAAGGAAAGGAAATACCACTGGTACCCTGTAGTCTAGCAACCCCTCTCCCAGATACCTGTTGAGAGCCCAGAGCGCAAGGATTTTAAGTATTGACACTTACAGGAAAGATATTAGTACTATGGAAAGAACTGGAAACAGATGTACACCAAGAGAGGAGGTGCGCGGTAAACAATAGCACCAAGCCCCCTCCCCCATCTCTCTCTCTCTCCAAACCCTGCCTCCTCTCAGAAAGCCTCCCAAATGATGACTCCCTTCCCCAGAGATACTCAAGACCACCCCCACAGGGTACTTAAACTGACCCCTAGAAAATAGACTTGGTTTTCTTGTCTTCCTTTCCCATCTCCTCTCTGGGGGAGGGGGTGGCTGGAAAATCATCCAGGAGCGTTTTTATCCATTAAACCCAGGCTTTTTCTAATTCGGTTTGGTTTGGTCTGATTTGGATTGCTGTGTCGGCAGAGAGGCTTATGGGGTGCAGAAACTTTTCAGTCAGAATGTCCCCATTTAAAGGATGTTGTTTAGAAAGTGTTTCCACATGTGAATATTCATTAAGTAGAAAAAATGTATATAAGAGGACTTACTTTTTGCAAAACAAAGATCACAGCATGCCATAATACAAATGCATACACATACCGTACGCATTCCTATTTATGATCATGTAGTAAGAAACATCAAGTACTTGATAAGTTGTTCCCACAGGGCAGAGCAGTTGCTGGTGTGAACCAAGGGAGAGACGATATGAAACATACTGCACTAAAAGAAAAGCATATTTTTTAAACTCTCTTTTTATTTCTTCTTTGTGCCTTTCACATCATGCACCTCGATCCCATTCATTTTCCGTCTTTTTGTATCTGCCATCTGCCCTTGAAAGCTCCCTGCAAATAAAGTAAAAATTAAGAGGAAAAAAAAGAAAAAAAAATAAAGAAAAAAAGGGGGAAATCTCATCATGGAAGCTGTCGTGATACGGTGAGTCAGGCAGTAAACCCTTCTGTTCTTAAATACTTACACTGAAAAGAGTCATTGATGTGGTTCGAGGCCAATGGTTTCTGCTACACTATAGATGCTGGGACCTCACTGAGACTTCTCTTGGATATTCTGTTGTTGCCCAGTGTCATGGAGATCCCGCAGTTTTGGGTCTGCTGGACTGGCCCCTTCATGTGCTCCAGCAGATCACAAATGGGGTGGATGTTGCAGAGGATCAACTCATAGGCCTAGTTCTGGGCCTGGGTAGTTGCACTGTTGATCGGTAAGCCAGCTCTCTGCCGTCCTCACTAAGAGGGTGAGCTCTCCAGCTTTGCCCTGGCTAGTTCACTCCTCGCTGCACCGAGCAAGGGCTGGAACCAGTTCTCCTGCTTTCACACCTTCAGGGTTTCACTGCCACACCTGGCCGATGAGGGCCAGCTCTGCTGTGCTGTCCAGGTGAGCGCAGGGGTCACTCGGAAACGCGGCAGCTGAGGAGGGACCAGACAGCTCTCCTGTTCTCATAACCTCAGGAATAGCTCCTCTCACACCACAGGCAGTGAGGGGCAGTGGGGAGGGAATCTTTCCCCTCCCCAAACACCACATGGCAGAGGGGCGGGGCCAGATCTCCGGCACTCACGAGCTTGGTCGGGTTCACCCTACTCCTATTAGTAGGGCCAACACTGCTACATCGCCCAGGCGAGTTGCAGGTCCTGCTTTCCTGAGTGCTGCAGCTGTTAAGGGGGAGGGTTGGCTTCCTCTCTCAGCACAGGTGACAGGCACAAGTCCTCACCACCCCCTGCAGACTAGGGGGTGTGGCCATCTAGCCCACTCTCAGACCCTCAGGGCCAGTTCATCCTCACCTCGGCCAACAGGGTCAGTTCTGCTGTGTCACCCAGGTGAGAGACAGGACTCACTTTCCTGAGTGCTGCCACTGGAAGCAGGGAGGGTCAACTCGCTCCCTCTTCTGTCACAGGCTGCAAGGGACAAGTGGTAAAGGAGAACAGCTCTACCCTTACCACGCCACCGGGCAGCGTGATAAATGAGACAGTTCTCACACACTCAAACTCCGGGACTGGCTCACCCATTCCTCTAACAGGGTCCACTCTACTGCGCTGCCTGGGCAGGATGCAGGGCCTGCTCTCCTGAGTGTTGCAGTTGGAGAGGGGCAAGAGCAGCTCACCACTCTTATGGCCTCAGGGTCAGCTCTCACATTGGCCTCAGAATAGAGGGGATGGCTTCACTGCCCAAGCCACCATATGGCAAAGGAGGATGGGGGCGGGGCCAATCTCTCATGCCCTTATTCTTGCCTCCTCGCCCATGCACCTGTAAACAGGGTCTGCTCTTCTGTGCTGACCAGGCATCTCTATAGTCCACCTCAGCCTACACCTCCCATCTTTCATCTCGTCGGATATGCCTCCTTCCACAGAACAGGAATTATTCTGTTTCTCTCCCATAATACTCCAGACCTTTTCTCACCATAAGAGTGCTTGCCCATCTGCCTGACTATGCAAGGTGCCGGGTGGGCCAATATTTTCTCCCTCGTAGCCCAGAGACCTCCTGAGGCCTGTGTTATGATCCCTTTGTCCTGCTCAGTTCATTACGGCCGACTCCTGGTTGGTCTGAAGATGTTGCATAAGTCATCTCATGGGCCCGGGCTAGAAAGTCCAGAAAAGCATATTTTTGATATTACATTTCTGAGTGGGTGTAGAAATATATTTGGATGCCTGTATGTATGAAGACAATCACTTATTTATTGGTCTATTTGTTATGTATTTATAAGCATGTATGTTCTTACAATCTGAATGATAACAAAATTGGCTTTCCTAAGAGCCCTGTGAGCCACATCTCATTGGATTCTGTATTTGATGAGCTTTTTGTTGTTCTGAGAAGGGTTCTTCCTGTGTTGCTCGCTCTGTCTGCCATCCTCCGACTTACCCTCTCCGGCGTTGGAATTATGCACATGCACTACCATTTTCTGGTCTAGATTCTGCACTTAAAAGATAAAAGCCAGGTAGGAAATTCACACACACACACACACACACACACACATACACACACACACACACACACATACACACACACACACATACACACACGTATATATGTATACACACACACACACACACACACATATATATATATATATATATATATATATAGAGAGAGAGAGAGAGAGAGAGTAGGCAGAGTTAGGGAGAAGCCACATAGCCACCAAAGGAGACAGACACAAGAACTTTACCCTAGCCACAGTCACATGGTGATATACAGATTAATAGAAATGTGTTCATTTAAGATATAAGAGCTAGCTAGAAAGATGCTTAAGCTATTGGCCAAGCAGTGTTTTAGTTTTAAAAAAATAAAAGATAAAACAGACACATAAAAGCAGTTGCCTGTGGCTATAGTGCTTGTGAATAGCAAACCAGGATTTAAACCCGTGTCTGGGTCCCCAGCCTAAGCTCTGAACTATTACTGTTGCTCTCCCCTTTCAGTAAACAGCAAAGCCATCATTGCTTGGCATTTGTTAATGACTTGTCATTGCCCTAGGACAATCCTAAGTCCTTTGATGACTTTGAAGTCCCTTCACAGGGTCTGGCTCCCCCTGAACTCTCCATCCGTACCCAGTCACCTTCACTGTCATACTTTGCTTGGTTATTACCTGGTCCTCAGTTGCCCGATGGTTGAGCTGTAGTCTCCTTCAGATCTCAGATCCCTTTCTCCAGGGCTTTCCTAACTAGGTGTGTCCTATTCATCCCAGTCGTAACCCACAGCATGTAGCAACCTGTGCGTCTGCTCTTTGGTGGTTCGCCATTCAATTGTCTTCTGTGACGTAGAGGCTCTGAGGGAGTCTGGTGGGACATTTTAAGACTTGGACTCTTCAGCATCTTTAGCATTTTGTGTAGCTCTGGGTTTATTCTGGGTTCTTAGGCAAAAGACCGAGAAGCAATTACAGCAGATTCTGAGAAGCATTTTAAATGAGTGGGTAAACAACCAATAAACGAACAGTCTTGCTGAATTGAGAGGAAAGACTTGAGTCTAGACTCACATAGATTAGGGCTCCTCTCAGCTTTGGTCTTAGATGACGGTGAAACCTCTACTCGACTTCCATCTGTAAAATAGAAATAAATGCTGCTGTGCCAGCTACATGAGAAAGGCACAGAGTGTGCTGAAAGCCACCAAGCCATCAGAGCTGCAGCGATGACTGCCCCTGTTGTCATTACTTGCAAGCTTCCTCAGAGATCACCATCCAGCCTGTGAGGTGACAGTCCTTGGGTCCCAGCCTATCACTGTTCCAATCAGCTCAGCTCTGGCTGAGGGCAGAGGTTCAAGCTGAATTTTTTGTGCCCATACTTGGGCTGAAAGGCAAGCACACACCCCTAGTCTGCTTTCTGTTTCTCCCTTGCTAAGCCCTTTACCCAGCTCTTTCCACTTCTTCCTATGATTTATTTATTGGGGGCGGGTATACTGCAGTCCTCGGGTGGGAGTCAGATTATAAACATTCTCTCTTTTTTATCATGTGTATTCCAGGAATGAAACGCATGCCCTCAGACTTGGTAAGCAAGTGTCCTTACCCACTGAGCCATCTCTCCTGCCCTTGGCAGTTTTAGCAGTGCCTGACTTAACCAAGCCATTTACTTAGCCCCTGCTGTGGTTTGCTTCAGAACTGTCCCTCCCAAACTCAGGGGTTAAGACGGTCTTTTAGGTAGCTGCTGGTATTTTGAAGGGTGATTGAATTATGACGACTTTAACTTCATCAGTCCCACGGCAGAGTTCTGGCTCACCTCATGGGGGCACAGAAGCAACAGAACGAGTGACTGTGGACCTCAACTATGAGGCAAAAAAAAAAAAAATTCCTCTCAGAGTCATTTCCTCGGGTATTTTTGAGGCAGTGATTAAAAACTGACTACTACAGCTCCACTTAAGCTCCCGAAAGGCGCCTTTGGGGGTGTCAGGGGTTGTATCCATTCAGCGAACAGGACATGCTTGGCAGAGACAGGTGTGCAGTGCTGACCTCAGACGGGTTAACCAGACTTCTGAGATAGAAGGCAGTGGCTTCCCCATCGTGTCGAGCCGGCAAGCTTATGTTTTCTCTCTTTCCTGGTTCACAGGAAACTCCACCCTTGACAGCGGTTACTAGCAGACAACACTGGTGTGGACCAGGGTGGCAGGTAGGTATATGCTGAAGCATATGCAAAATAGGGTTTAAAATATTTCATCTGTGAGAAAACATCAATGTCGGGAAAATCAGAGGGAGGAAGGACATGGGGAGCTCTATGCTTTCTGACAATTCGAGGTGAAGGGGGCAGACGCTGTTGCTTCTGCAGGATTCAGCCAGAGAAAGCTTCCTGGAAAAGTACCGAATTGCCCAGCCGCGGGTCTTCCAACTGCTAGGCTTCCTGCCTCCAACCTTGATGAACTCATCTGTAGTCTTTGGCATGTATCAGCTCCGTACAATGCTGGCTCCACTTCCTGAGCTAGCTTTGCCACGCCTGCTCTCTTCATTGCTAGGAAGACTTTTATCCTTGTCACTCTCCTGCCCCCCACCCCCCATCTCTGCACCCAGCATATTGTCAGGCCGATGTGACCTGAGTGAATGATGGGCATTCAGTATCTTCTAGATACTGTTACAAATACAGAATCTGGAAACGCTAAAAAAAAGTGAAATTTGGGGGCTATAAGAGAATGCTTTAGAGTAGGGTTTGAGCATTCGGCATGAATTATCTCCAAAGATTATGTAAACTAATGTCTAAAGGAAGGCTGATCATACTCAGGAAGAGCAGTGGCATTCTGGTGACAGAGGGTGGTGGCCTGTAGAGTCTGCCAAAGGGGAAGTGAATGGGCACTGACCTCAGCCCTTCTCTGCTTGCTGAGAAGTTAAACTTCACACCCCGAGGGAGCTCTGCCAGCCCTGAGGATGAGGTGCTGAGCTTGGTCCATCAGAGGACCTATATTGTTATGAGGTGAGCAAAAGTCCCTGGCTAGTTTGGGTCACAAAGGGAACATACTTTAATGCTTTTGCTTTTGCTTTTATAAATACCCTTGCCCTCTTCCTCATATCTGCCACAATATGAAGAGATGAAATTGCTAGATAACAATACACCCTGTCCCTGTGATACCCCACCCCCACACATACAATTAACTACCTGGTGGATAAGGAGAAAAGACTAATCACCATCTTAAATTGGAAGCTTTCCTCTACAAGCTCTCTTCTCTCGTCCTTCCTTGATGACTAGGTGTGAACGTTATCAGCTAAGGAGCTCTCGGGCTCTCCTTATTTGAAAGTCTTGAAATGAGACTTTCTTGAGATGGTTTTTAACAAGGCTACCCTTGGATTTGAGATTTATTGACCATTTCACTTCTCTTACAACCCTTGATTGTTATCTGATAATAGGGCCTTAAAATTTACATATTTTGAATATTCATATAGGCAATCAGTGCTTGATCATCCAGGAGTAGGGGTAGTTTGATTGTTGATTGAGTTAGTGGCTCATTCACAATTACTTCTGATTTCAGGTCTTGTTAGGATAATCACAGACTCTGTCCAATTAATCCTTTATTGACATCATTACTGGGAGTGTTTGTTCTGACCTTGGCATTAATTCCAGGATGCTTTTCTCACATGCAGAGCATCCATTCCTCATCCCCTGCATCAAACTGCTATCTCATGATGGCAAACAGGACCTTTATGCATTAGTCTGGAGAACACACAGGATTGGGAAAGAAGGGACCAAGTATTATTTAGCAAATATCTATTTGACCCAATTGCCACAGTATCAGCTAGGTGCCTCGGTTCAACTCCCAGTCAGTTGTTTGCGAGCAGTGTGACGTATTTTACGTCACCATCCCAGTTGTGCAGGACTCATTTGAATACATAAAATCCAGTGACCTGGGAAAGCCACCAAACTTGGGAAAACGGAACTATTTTATCATTCTCTGTAAGTCATTTTCTCTTCTATATAGATGCTTTTATTAGCATATATTAATTATGCATGACAATGGCCTTGTTATGGTATTGTCATGCTTGTATCTTTGATGATATTTAAACCCATAACTCTCTCATGTCCTTGGCTCACTCCTGCTGACCCTTTTCCTCTTCCCAGCTAGTCTCTCCTCTACTTTCATTGTAGTGGCATTTCAATTGTATTTTAATAAATAAAGACAGCTTAAAGATCTGAGAGTAAAACAGTCCCACTGGTCAGCCTTACAGACCAGGTTATGATAACACACGTGTTTAATCCCAGTAGCCACAATGACATGCACTTTTAGTCCCAGTGGCCACAATGACACACACCTTTAATCTTAGTGGTGCACACTTTTAATCCCAGCCCTAGAGAGGAACAGAAGATATGGGGAGACAGCTCTCAGACACAGTCTCATTCTGGGATTCCTGGAGGCAGGATCACCGTTTTCAGACTGAGGTCGAGGTAAGAGCCAGTGCCTGGCTCTTTTGCTTTTCGGATCTTCAGGTTGAACCCCAATTTTTGACCCTGAGTTTTTATTAATCGTGCATAACTTTGTGTCTTTTTTCTCTGGCTAGTCCCTTTTCTGTGAGCCAGTGAGTTTTGTTAGGACTGTTTTTAGATTAGGTTTTATTAGGATTGTTTACAAGAGCGCGAGCGAGATGCCATTCACAGGAGCATGGGTGAGAGGTTGCTTAGAGGAGGAGCCACCTCTCCAGTGGCTACACCATGAAAGAAAATATATCTCCATCTTCCAGCAACCATTAACTGCCTATAGATCTGCAGGGATGGGTGCAACCTCTGCCCCATATTTTTGACTCTGTTTTGATCTGAGACAGTCTCATGAAGCCCAGGCTGACCTGAGCCCCTGGACCCCATGTCTCTACCAAGTGCTAGGATTACAAGCATGTGCCACCATACCTAACTTGCATACTTACACATAAAACTAGAGAAACTGATTACTTTTATATGGTATGTTTGGTGTGGAGCTAATAATAAAATGAGATAATGTAAAAATGTAAGAAGAAAACAAACTCCCAAGCCAGTAAATCTTATACTGTTGATAAAAGACACATTGTGTTTGTGTCATTCTCTTGTTCCAAGGACACACAGCAAAGTGCCTGATTATAGAGCTGGATTTCTATGCTTGGACCAAGTCACATTCTGGGTTCTAAGGTAGTTTGCCTTTGCTCACCAAAACTCAGGACCTTGAACTAGGGAAACATATACTCTACCTATGAGCTATGCCTCATCCTGAAGTTTTAACCACCTGTTAAGTGCAGTGCTCAAGAAGGATGAACTTCTCCAGGGTTCCGTGGGCAAACTGTATAGAAATCCAGACGTGGTGGTATAAATTCAAGGCAAGAACCCATATGCAGGATCCGAAGCAGACACGTTGGAGGATTCTTATTGACTTGCTTCCCATGGCTCACTCAGCCTGCTTTCATATATCACACAGGGCCATTTACCCAGAGGTGGCACCATTCGCAGTGGCCTAGACCCTCCTCCATCAATCATTAATCAAGAAAATGATCCACAGACTTAACTATAGGCAATCTGCTGGCTGTAATTCCTCAGTTATGATTCCCTCTTCCCCGATGACAAAGAAACTAAGCTGCAGAGACGAGGGGGAGAGAAGCAGAGAGGAGTGTGCAGGATGCAGAGGGGAGCAGAATGGGGATCATATGGAGGATGCCCGTGATTGACAAGCAAGGAAAGGGTGGGAGGATGAGCTTTCCATGGAACAGCACGGCTGCTCACCGACGTAAGTGGAGGGGCCGACATTGAGCAAAGAGGTCGTGTGTCACCCTAAATTGCAACGTCTGCTGAGGAACAACTTCTGAAGAGTGTTTTAAATGTAGTTCTTGGAGACGGGCTTCTCATCATAATTGCTAAGTCCTTGTAACCCTGAAAGGCTTTGTCCTGGTTTTCTCTTTGCTATTATGATAAAATACCCAGACGGAGAGCGATTTAGAGCAGAAAGGGACATATTTCAGCTTACGATCCCAAGTTGCCGTCCATCATCGTGAGTTAAGTCAAAGTAGGGACTCCGAATAGTCATTCACATCACACCCACAGCCAAGAGCAGAAAGGAAGGAATGTGTGCCGGCTCGCTTGCTTGTGCTTGGCTCCATCTCCCCATCTAGTTCAGGATGCCCTGCCTAGGGACGGGTGCCACCCACACTGCGCTGGGGCTTCTCATGTCAATTACTTTCACTGAAACAGTCTTCCATAGACATGCCCAGAAGC